TTAGCCACTGCGGTGTGAGATGTTGTCGCGGGACCGTGAACGTTCCCTGGTGTGAGTGGTAGTGTTGATGTTGGTAGCAGGGGTGGCTTGTGGTGGGGGACCTGTCCAGTATGAGTGTAGACGTGCTGCGTCTTGTGGTGGGGTACGTGGTGAGGGAGAGGGTGAACGACTGGAAAGTCCGGGTGGTAGTGGAAAACCTGGCGGTATGTCGTGTATAATGGCCAGGTTTCTGCTGGAGAGTGAGGCTGTGGGGTTGATGCGGTATTGTCCTGGGAGCCCGGGGCCGGTGGTGACAAATTGAAGGAGTCGACGAGCCTGGGAGAGGTTGTCAATCAAGCGGTCCAGCAAGATCAGGTCACCGCGCATTCGGTAAAGGAGGTTGTATGCTCGCTGGTCTTGAAAATAGGCTTGGCTTGGCATAGGTTCTGTGTGAAATGGGTGATGGCGGAGGTGTTGGTTGACCATAAAGAGGAGGTCCAAAGAGCTGTTGAGGGATTGAAAGTCAGGCTGGGTGCCAATCGAAGGTTGGAGCCAGTTCGGAGGGCGCTGTGGCAGGTAGTGCTCTGTGTCGGCGGTGTTGTTATGAGGGCGAGCGCGAGGATTGGCCATGACAATTGATGGAGTAAAATGGCGCACAAAAGGCTGCGGAGCTGTAGTGAGCCTGAAAACTGACAAAACGAAGTTGGGCAAAACTGGTGAAAGGAGACTGGGCTTGAAAAACTAAGAGTCTGTGCACGTCAGCGGATTTGTCCTGCAGCACGCCGTAAAGAGAGGTGGGTGAAACGGGTCAAATGAAATAACTGCCAACAGGCGTAAGTGGAGATTTCTCCGGATGACTGTCTTCACTAAGTGCTCGCTCAGCGGCCGGCGTCAGCAGCACAGCAGCAGGAGTCGTTTGATGTGGTGAAGTCGGTGGCGTTGTTATGGGGGAGGGGGAGAAATCCGGTTGTGAATGTGGTGCTGGGGAAACTGCTGGTGATGTGGGTGTTGGTGATGGGGAAGGTGCTTGTCTTGGTGGTGCGGTTGGTAGTGGTGTGGAGAAGAGCTGTTGGTCCTGCTGACGTTGCATGTCTTTGAGTTCTTGCCATCGGGCCTGGCATTGCTCTACGGAGAAGCCCACTCGGCGAGCCACAGTGGTCCAGTTGGGACGAAGTCTGGGGTTTTCTTTGAGTTCGACCAGGCGACAGTCGGCGTCGCCGTCCCAAGCATCCCAGTCCGCCTGTTGGTTCAGTGGTGGTGGGGGTGGTTGCTTCCGCTTGCGTGTTGTGGTGGGTTGTGGATCTGGGGTTGTTGTGGGAGTGTCGTCTGAGTCTTTTGAGGGTGGTGGTGGTAAACGGAGGGGTGGTCTGGATGGTGCTGAGTCACAAGAAGAGGTAGTAGATGGTAAACGTATAGGGTGGTTGGGCGGGGTTGGAAGTGGCTGAAAGTGTTGGCGGAAAGTGGGATCCGCTTGGTGGATATGGTGGAGTAGCTGAGTGTGGAGGTGTGCTATACTATCGGTTGCTTGTCTGAGTAGGTTTTGCAGCTGCGAGAGTACCACTGTGGTTCTGTGTATGAGAGTTGAGGTGTCGTTGCGTAGAGGTGTCGGTGTGCTGCTCATGATTCGGGGATGTAGGGATGTACAATAGCACGGAATCGTCACGGGTTGCTGCAGCAGCGCGCCAAAGCAGCCGGACAGCGGCGAGTCTGAGGGAGCGCATCATCACGAGGCCGTGCATATGAATTAAGCGAGCATCAAATTTCCACAGGCAAAGTACGAAAATGCAATGCCGGTTGAACAGTCAAGTACATGAGAATCTGACATGTGAAATACTCCATCAGAACAGCCGGTATAAATTGAAGAAAAAGTTCCAGCAAACACTGCAGAGCTTGAAAAATTGAGGGTTCAAAATTCGCGTGGCCGCTGCGGGAGGCTCTTTTTGGCTGCTACGAGCAAAGGTTAGGTGGTGGTGTGAGACCAAAAGTGGATGTGGAGGTGGTAGTGGTGTAAAGATGTGGGATAGTGGTGTTATGTGTCCGGTGGAGTGGAGTTTGTGGACCAGGCCAGTCCTTTGACAATGGCGTGGTCTGGGTGGATCACCCAGCAGCGGCCCTTCTGATGAAAGACTGCACCATGGTGGTCGTTCAGGAGGTTCATGGCGTGTTCCTCACCTCCGGAGGTATATTTTGTGGCCGCACCAAGCAAGGAGTGTGATGATAAGGGAATGGGAGTTCTTGTGGAGTTGCCAGGTGTTGTGGATGATGCGGGCAAGTTCGTTGTGGTCATGGGGTTGGTTGTGGGTGATGCGAACGCCCTGGGCAAAAAAATCCAGGGTAGTTGGCAAAGTGGAGTGTGCTGGGTAAAAATCGGCCTTGGCGTAGAATGTTGGAAATGTTGCCGACGGGGCCTGTGTGGCCTGCGTTGATGTGGGCGACTTCCCGGTGGGTTGATGTGGCGCGGGAAACCGCAGGTGGTTCTGGTGTAGTGGCTTTGGTGTTGAGGAAAGGAAGTGAAATGGCGTAGTACTGGAATTGGTCGTATTGGTGAGTTGTGTCGTTCCACTTGGCGTGAGTATATTGTCGGAAATCGGTGATCTCCTTGTAGGTGATGTTGCAGTCTGTGAGGATATGGGCAATGTACTGGTGTTGTGGGCGGTTGGGATTGTCGAGTTGGGTGGCATGGAATTCGAGCCATTCCAGGATTTGGTCTGCAGGTGTAAAGGTGTGAAAGTTGTTTGGAGGTCGCCAACGGTTGATTGGGCGACGGAGGACGGCTGTGGTGGGAAATTGAGTGGGGTCTGGGTTGGTGTGTTCAGTGTTAGGGCGTAAATCAATGGGTTGTGGTGGTGAGCGACTGCGGGATGGCGTAAGGCTGGATGTGTAAGTGGATGTTGAAGGTGACCGCCGTCGCCGGGTAGTGCTGTGATGTTTGGAGTGGCGGTGATGGCGATGTCGGCGGCGGTGGCGGTGGCGTCCTCTGTGGTGATGGTCGGACTTGCGTCGGCTCTTGTGGTGGTGGCGGCGACTGCTGTGTGGTGGTTGCGGGGAAGGTGGTTGTGGTGCTGGTGAGGCATTGGTGTCAGGTTTGTCTGGTGCTGGTAGTGAAGATCCGGGCGCTGGTGTGGCTGATACTAGCGATGGGGATGCAGAGTGTTGGGAGACGGTAGCTGGAGGTGTCGTGTTTTGGACCGGCAATGGAGTGTCCGGGGCAGTCGTGGGGATGGGTTGGATTGGTGGTGTTGGATCCGATGGTGGCTGCTGTTGGGGTGGAGGTTGGACTGGTGTTGAGGCGTTGATGATTTGTGGAGGTGGTGGCGGGGGCAACGGTTGGGGTGGAGGCTGTGTGACTGGGGGAAAGGCTGAATAGGGCTGCCAAACGCCCTGGGGGATGGGGCATTGGGGGTCTGTGGATGGATGATTGGTAATCGCAGGCTGTTGCTGTGTTGGAGGGGGATGGGTCAGGGTAGTGGGGGGAGGAAGTTCTGCCGGTGGTGTGGGATGTTGTGGTGGTAACAGGTATGAAGGGGGAGGTGCTGCTGTCGGAAATACTGGAGCTGGATGTGTGGGCTGCGGTGGCACGTGACATGGTTGCACAAACGTCCAAGTGGATGGTGTGCCGTAGGTTAGTGTAGTGGCGGTAGGGTTGGACAAAAAAGGTGGTGGTTGAAATGGTTGTGGTTGTGGGTGAGGGTATGCCGATGGGTGTGTCGTGGGAAAAGTGGGTGCAGTTGATGGCTGTGGCAGCGGCCATGTGGGTTGAGGTTGTGTGGTGGGTAATGGTGGTGGCGTGGTATGAGCGTAGGGCCACGGAAAATGCATGTCGTGGTGGTAGCTATGGCGCGGCGCGGCGCGGCAGCAAAAAGCAGCGGGGAAGTGCCGAGTTGTATTGTCTTGTTGTTGTTGAAGGTGTCATCTCTGGTGTCGATGGTGAGTAAGTTGTAAGGTGGTGCTAGATGTAAGCTTGTTGGTAGATGTGTGTTCATGCATCTCGAATTAAGCTGAAGAGCTGTAATGCCCATCCTTGAGTTCTGTCGATAAAAGAATCACGGCATCAATATAGCAAACGTGGAAACACGCACATGATTTGAAGACATGAAATGAAATGACGGATCCGAGATCTGAATTCTGAAAACTGGAAACTGAAAGTTGAACTCCGATGTATTCTTCAAGAAACCGTTTTTTGGCCCGGCGGCCGGTGTGGCAGTTGATTCTGTGAGGGTGTCGGTGCCTTCCTGTGAGAGTCCAGTGAGCGGTGGTGCGTTGGGGTGGTTGCTTTCCCATGCAAGGTCGGCGCCCCTGTGACGAGGATCACACTCAGCACCCGAGTGGGACGGCTGAGCAGGACACACTTCGAACTTGAGTTTTCAGTTAACGCAATTGTCTCGGTGAGAAGGAAGGTGATGGAACAGCAAGGCGAAAAGGTCCAAAGACTTGAATTGTTGAAAAAATGTTTCACTCGCGCGGCTGGCTGCAATGCACAGGCGGCTGAAAGCTGTTTTGGGGAAGTAGCACATGAAAAACCATGAATCAAACCAAAAGGAGTGGACAGCGTGGGCAACAGTTGATTGCAGGTACGTCATCAGGCGTCCCTGATGATGTCCTAGGAGCACGTGAGGAGCTTCGTTGGATGGAGCCTCACGTGTCCTCTCCATCCCCCTGCTCATGTAAGATAGAAAGAGTGGTGGTGGAAAACCCTTTGTCCAGGGTTGGACACACACACACACACATATACACCTTGGTTTTCGCCAAGTGGTACACTCCACACTTCCACCAATGGAAGTGGACAATGGGCCCCTTTTTGAGACGACCAGGGGGAGAACCCACTTCCATTTCTGTGAGACGACCAAAGTAACCATTTCGACATAGTGATGGCCAGTAACCTGTCGACCGGGATCGACTCACAAAAGTGAGTCGAAGCACCGCTGATGAGCAGTGCCTATATATCACAGGATGAGCGGTTATAGATATCAGATGATATCAGGCTATATCATATCTATAAAGGCTCTGATTCTTCAAAGACACTAATTACCAGGCACTACCACCCCCAATGTGATGCCAATATTAATGTTTTCAGGGGCCAAAAGGACGTCCGCGTTTTGCTCAGTTCCTTTCCAGCTAAGTCGACACTCCAAACCCGCTGGGACTCCACACTCCCGCTCGTGCTTCACCCGTTCCAACTGGGATTCGATGTGCTGCTGAGAGATCTGCAACAAACGCAGCACGCTGTGGTCCGCCTTCTTCGCCACCATATCTTCGGTCATAGACGGTCTGCCCTTCGGCCGAGGCTGAAGAACTGAGGGAGGCCGCGAATGGATGCGAATGGTACGTTGGGAGGTAAAAAATGCAAAGATCATGCACGAGAACATCAACACAGTCTAACCTGCCACCACCGGTGCGCCAACATTGGCGCACTGTGTGCCACCGGTCGACCCAACAGGGGCAGTTCGTTCACCCTCCTCCGAGGAGCCAAGACGTTGCGGAAGCGCTGAGAGCACCGTTGACGCCACGCCTTGTCAACGCGGAAGGACATGTTCTCGGCGCATTCCTGGCAGCTGGTGAGTGGTGAGTGGCAGCGGTGGGTTTTCGAAGGGAAGTCTCGATCGAGAACCTGTTCAAGAAGGTAGGGTCTCTGTTCTCATGATTTGTCATGCTCCTGAATAGACTTGAAAACACCATTGATGTAGAACATGAATGAATCCGCCCCGCGTTCTTGAAACCTTCACAAGCCTCACACCGAGAATTTGTATCTCGGAGAGGAAGGTGCACGAAACAAACTTTTGACTTGTGAATCTAAATAGTCTTACTGTCGACGGTCCCCATTAAATTTCCAAGCGGAACTTGGGCTGCCAAATGTTCTAAAGGATTTTAGGTGGGGTGAATTACAAGCCAGGGTGCACTAATTAGAGAAAATGATGTGCTCAGGGAAAAATAACAAGAATTCAAGGTGGGCCCTAAGAATCGCACCGTCCAAATTGCGCCCTGGTTGGCATCTAGAAAATGCACAAACGACTCAATGGACATGTTCAGTCTGCACCTTAGCCAAAAATGCTGGGTCATTAACCAAGTTTGTACTCCCTGGAAAGAATATTGGGGACCAAAAGTCCTAAGGTTCTGAGATTCGCAGTGGAAGTATTGATGAGGATGTCCTAGGCATAATTCGGATAAAGGACATGATGGATCAAATCAATTCCAACAAACAAATGGTACAGTAACTATGGGTCAATGCACACAAGCATTCGACACAAAGCTCTTTCATCATGATCCCTCGGAATGTACACCAAGGAAATCATCGTGGACGTGTATGGCACCACCTGCCGGTATTTGGGACATGGTCATCTGAAATCGGGGCCAAGCGATTGGCATGGTCCACCCTTGCATGAACATCATTTCAGGATCATCCTGTCTGGGTCTGGGTGTCCATAGAGTAGTCCATTGGACACCCAAACAGGATGGTCCAAGCGATTGGGACGACTGGGGGGGCCACCGGCCGGCGTCAGAAGGACCGACCGAAAACGTGCCTCCCAGCCCAAGAGCTCCACATCAGCTTCACCTGGAGGCCGGGGTGCTGGCACCGTCGGTGTCTACCAGTGGCAGGTACACTCCAAAGACATCACGAAGTGATGAAGTGAGTTCACTGAAAAAAACAAACTGAATGAAAAGCCGTGATGACTTCCATGCCATCCACTTCCATGTCGTATGTATCCAGGTACGTCGAAACGAAAACCCACCCAGCTGCCGAAAAAGGTATCGCTGGTGTGAGTGGACCACCGCGGTTTGAGCGAACTCAAAACGGAACAAGAACCACAACCATTCTGAAGCAACCGGGGTCTTTACCCAAACCAGAAGATTTGGTCCAATAGTCCGATCCTCATATCATTGCAGCCACAGGTTCAGGGTCCATCAAGGGTCCCCCGCCACTCCGACCCAATGCCAACAGATCGATAGAAGTGGAACGTCCGCTGCAGGGCGGTGCATTCCACGACTGGTCCCCGGTTGCCCCGGTCACCTTGGACAAGAGTTCGGCCTGGCCCATCTGAAACCTCCACTCACATACACTCACCCAAACTGAACCTGAATCCCTTACGCGATTCCTGCAAAAAAGGGTATCCTTGAAGCCGTTGAAGTGACAAAACAGGACGAGTGCAACAACCGCCACATAGCTAAAGTAGCCTTGGATTACCAACCTCCATTTGCCATGTCACTTGCATGATGTCAAGATTGACAACTTCCCAACATCGAGGTTGGACAATGAGTTTGTTTGCCCTTTTGACGTAACTTTTGCATACTTTTGCCAAGTTTTTGCTACACTGGCCGAGCAGGTCGTAGACTTACTCCCCGATGGTTGGATTAGCACTTGCTCTGCTCGGGCCAACACGAGATTCACGCGCTTTGCCTATGAGTTCTTCACGTTTACTTTTATCATCCCTTATCCATTTTCCCTTGGAACCGTTAACTGAAATCTATCTGAATCTCTCGTTTTATTGGTGTCGATCGCATGTCATTTGGTCCACCTCTGACTCCCTCCGCAGCCTTGATCAGCTCCCTCAGCGTCATCGAACTTGGGACCCGGGAACACGCCCACCACCTGGCGCGTGTGGGCCACGGGGAATGCCCCGAGAGCAGGTAGGCACCATGCAAACAGCTAGGCAAAGCCTGGAATTCTAGTGAACTGGTTGAAGGGTGTTGAAGGAAGAACTGGCTGTGGTAAGGAGTCATCACAGGACAAACACAGGTTTACAGTAGGTTTGCTGGAGCAGCTTGTCTTCCTATACGGGCAAGGCTTAGCCGAGCTTGATCCTTTCGCCACACACGAACAAATTCTCGCCTCCACGAGTGGCCAGGGGTTCGTTTCGTGGTGAACCCAAAAGCGGAATTCGATTAACACCTTCTGAACCACTTCGAACCGGGTCCAACGGTCCCCGGCGACTCCCGTCTCACGAATGCGGATGAGAGGACGCGCGGAGTCGAGTCGCGTCGCGTCGCGTCGCCTGGGCGAATTTCACCACACCCCGGGTGAGTGCAGAGGTGCAATGCTTCAGATCCTCAAAGGGCTTCTCGTTGACCTGGGGGCAGAGAGCGCGAACACCATGTAGGCGCCACTGGAGTGCCGATATATGGGCGCCTGCCGTTTTTCGGCCCCAGAAATGGTGTTAAAATGTTTAAAGATGTGTTTCACTGAATTGTTACGAACTATCATGGTTTCCCTATGTTCTCTTAAGCCAAGCTTGAAGAGTTTTAGGGACAAGCAAGTGAGATCTAGGTATAACCTTGCCCAAGGGAAACAATACTCATTACAGCCGACTAAAGCTGCATGGGGTGCACAAACGAAGAAATTCATTTTCAAATAATATGTCGCAGCATTCAGGCCTGCATCCATACAAGCGAATTCATATGAATTCATCCCAAATCGACACAAACAATTTAACAATCCATAGTAGTCCATAGACTGATTCCTGAGACCAGCGGATGTTCCTGCCCCCGCTTCTTTGCTTCAAATCTGGTACGTTTCTCCCTGCAAAACCACGTCTACCACGTCCACCGACCCCTCCGATCGCGCGTCACACACCCGGACGTCCGGTTCCGCTCCCACCTTGGTGTCCAACACGTCGTGCACCTGAGCGACCCGGCGACCCTGTGTGGGGAGCACCCCTGTAGAAAGAAGCCTCCCATTAGAACTGCTCAGCGTACTGCCATGCTCGTGTTCAAGAATTCAGTCTTAAAAATCTAGCAACAGTACGTCACATAATAAGATCAGTGGGATAGCCCCAGTGTCCGGGATACCATGAAGATGATTAAGTAATATGTGTCGAATCATAGGTTCTTGCACCTGAGTTCTATCACTCAAATTGTCACACCCTTATAATTATGTATTAAATTAAATTTCATATCTTAGAGCGAACAGTTGACAAACATGTTGTGGTGTCAAGTGGTGTCAGCGTCAAATTTCATGTTGCAAGCAGGGTCGCATGGGCCTACGCCCTGTGCCAACATCAAAAGGTAGCAGCATCCAAAAAACATCGCACCTTTCGCGGCTGCCACACCGTCCCAAGCGCGGACTGAGGTGCTGCATCCATCTGTGCCTTCCAGTTTTGCTCGTCCATGTTCCCTCGGAGCAGCAGTGATGTCCAGTCAGCGTCGAATCCATCGCAGCTTTCAAGTGAACGAGACCTGCTGGAAAATGCCCATGACCGGTGACCATGACCGGTGCCCTTGAATGGAACCCCCCGTCCCTGTCACCTCGTCCCTGGCGGGGTGGTCATGTGCAAAACGGCATGCTCTTGTTCTCCAATCGTCAAGGCACTACCTACTTTGGACTCGGAAGAGAAGCTGCACCATCTAAGGCCGTATAGATCAAGTTACACTGTGCTTGCTTCATCCCTCTATCCAATCAACTGTCAGTTAACCCTTTCAAATCGGACTTGGACAATAAAGCACTCGGATCCCCGGCGTTGCTTCTCCATCTTACGCGTGGCATCACTGTTCCTCGCATCGCGAGAAAACTGCGATCGATCGATCTCGCGAGACGAACACAAAGGTGCCTTGGTAGCGTTGATGTGTGGGTTGAATGCGCTGGTGTTCAATCTGTCACAAGGCCCACTTGCCAGAAAGAGATAGGACATCACTGCAAATTTAGATCTTTGCTGCACATTGCTGCACCCATCCAAAAATAAACATGACAGGAATATCTGGGCAACATATTTTGCTATTCTGGTAGGGAATAGTAGGGCACCCCTCGTCTTGCTTGCAAAACCCTCCCATCCACCATCTTCATCCATGCTACTGCCTCTTGCTACTTGTGCTACTGCATCCATGTTCCCAGTTCCTCTGAAAACTGAGCATTCTCTTATACATAAGGTTATGTATAACCACGTCCCAGTCCCAAACTCCAACCAGTCTGACTTGGCGCCCACTTGCAGGCTGCTACCAGTCAGGGAGCCTCCCTGAGCTACGTAGGCGGGAGGCTCAATCCGGTCGGTCGACCAATTGCTTCCCGCTTCCTCACCACACCCATTCTGGGGTGGGCGGGCCGGATGCATTCCAATTTGTGCGTGTCCTCGAGAAAAAGAAACCTGTCACATCAAAGCATATCAAAGCTGAACCACCTGTGCAAACAAACAAAGGTATCCCTGCAACAGTCCCAAGACCTCATCGAAGTCATCAGGCGTGGAAAGCCCCGCCTAAAGAATTTGACACCGTGCCGCTGCTGACAAGAATCTTTTGAATGTCCACCTCATGAGATGCACTCTTCACCGTCAAGCCGTTCACCTCCTAAAGGAGCGAGCACCGCTCACGTGAGCGGACTGGAACGAACAGGGGAAGTGCAACAGATTGAAACAGATTGAAACAAAGAAGGCCGGTTCTTGAGTTCTTGCTTCCATAAAGCAATGGATTCTTTAAGGAAAAAGCATTTTCAATCCTTGTTCACCTAGATATTCGGTTCATCCACTGGTTCATCCGTATTGTGTTCTTGTTTACGGCCCCTCCCCCAGTAATGACCTTCATTAGCTTCATTCTGGGCATGTGGTTCGCTTTCCACTCACTCTTGTTGCTTGGGATATCCCGATCTTCAGGAAGATATAAGGAGGCCTTTTTATAGAGTGAGTGTGAATGCATCCATCCTCTCGTGAAACCGGACTTGCGAATGACGACACACTCTAGACATCCACTTGGACCGGTATTTTCGATTTTTGCTGAATGCTGGGACCTTCATTCTCCACCATCCAATTTCCGCTTCGACCACGACCAGGGCTCCCAAAATGGCCAGGACACACATGTGAACCAAGAACCAAACACAGGGGAACACACAACCAACCACCCGGAAGCCAACAAAACTCTATGAACCTCAATCGTGTAATTGGTCGATGTTTATCTCTTGCAACACCGAACTGAGCAGACTTTTGGATCAAAGGACCCCATGGCCGCGGCTTTACGGGACCCAAATGCCAGGCCAAAACATGCTCCAAAAAGCTTTACCAAATCAATGCGGTGATGGGACGGACTCCAAACCTCCCAACGGACGGACTCCAGACCTCCCCACGGCCTCTCGAAGTTTCAGGATGTCGCGCTTGTGCTCGCCCAAGCCGCCCTGCACGCCGCTCATGCGCCTCCGCTGTTTTGGTGGCGAAAAAGGACTCCAGGGTGCACGTGAATGGCATGGCGTGGCGAAAAGGAAGGCAGGCTCTTCGCTACAAGGAGGGGAAAATTTGGCTGCATGTGACAATTGGGCATGAAGAATTGAAAATGGATCAAGACAAATACAAATCCATACCACCCAAGAGAGGTTGAGAGAGTTGAGAGACCAGGACCCTGGGACCCTGGTCTGTGGTACATCTGGGATGGGCGACCTTAGGGCTGTTCGCTGCAGCCGAGGCACAAGTCCAAGGCTCCCAAGCGTCGAGAGGCTTCTGCGCTACGGAGCTCCGCCTGGTGACCAAGCTGGTCCAGCTTCAAACAGGAGGTTTAGGATACCCCTTCAGAAGGTCATGAGGGGGGGCTTTGGAAGATCGTTATAGATAAGGGGGCTTTGGAACCCCCTACAGTATGGTTTAGATTGGTTTAGGATGGTCCAGCTTTGGCAGTTCAGCCGATGCATCCGATCCACCTTCCATCCTGCCCCGGACGCGCGCCGCTCCCGCGGAGCGAATCTGGCACGCCCTACGGTCCCAGCTCCGCCTGCTGCTCCACTGCACCGATCTTCTCAAAAGCTTCTTGCCTGGGTTCCCCACCGGAAAAAGAACGGTGGACCAGTGACAGTGCCACGAACGTGGCAAGCCTGGCAAATCGACACAGAAAGAACTCATTGCTCTGCTCGTCCAATCTTTTTCAAGCATGTTCCACGTGTTTGAGTCGGGAAGTCCCCTGAAGGCATCCAAGAACAAGTCAACTTGCATGCCGCGTGCCGAGCTAGAAACATCCTGCCATGGATTTCCCTCAAGGGCCTGGTACTGGGCCTGGTCAGGGCATGGTGTGTTGGCACTTCTCTTTTTCGAAGTCGGTCACAACGGTGACGGAGAGGAACAAATCTCCGAGAGGTCTTTGGTTACGAAGTTAATTCAAGTCGCGCTTTTCTGCGACTATCATGAGTTGCACCTGAGCAGTTACTCAGGGGCATCGACCAAGGCATGGCACAGGTTGTCACCTGCTCAAAACATCTCAAAACCAAATGCAGGCATGGCTGTGAGTCAAAGCCTCACAAACACTGAACAAATTCAACAAACCTCTGAAAGGATTCCACAGCCACCACTTTACACTGTTACACCAATGACATCTAATGACCAAGTGTTTATATTTAGATGACCCAGCCGGATTCCGCTCATCTTTCTCATTAGAGCTCTTTGTCAGCGTTGCAAGGACAAAAGCGGTAAGTCCCGCTGTCTCCAGCAGCTGAGCAGCGACCCGCTTCCTCATTTCCACTCCAGCCACAATGTCGCCCGTCTGTGCTGGGGTCATACTTGGCACCACCTTCTTGTGTAGTCTCACACTCCTCATGAGGCCGGAGGCTGTTTCCAACCATTGAAGCATCCTCCTTGAACACTGGCCTGTTTTCATAGACTTAGATCCCCCTTCGCACTTGTGCAACCTGAAACCTGAAACCAAACGCCCCATCTACGCCGTGGGCTGGACCCTTGCACCCGATCACCACGACCCGACCGATCACGGCTCCGGCTCGGCTCACTCTATACTGCTCCACGCGCTCCTGACCAGCGAGCTTGGCAATGTCCTTGAACTCTTCCTCGCTCTTAGGCCACACCTCTTCGTTGCACCCGTCGCGTGCGGCGCAGGTGTGCTCACAACTGGCACCCCCGGCGCTCTTGACCTTGGCTCCAAGCCCGCAGAATCATTCAGCCCCTCGATTCCCCGGAGTAGTCTTGGACATGTTGTATGTTGTGGACCATTTGCACCATTATGCACCATGCATTCATTCATGTGATTCCCTTTATTCAAAGGATTCAAAAAGTACTTTGGGGGGGGGCAACATGGGGCAACACATCTCAAGCCATGCCAGCTGACCCATGTCACTGCTGAGGCCGCCTGGAGCAAGACAGTGACCATCAGGAAACGAAGCATGGCGATGGGCGCTGCGGAGCTAACGGGGCGCACGTCTGCTTTGGGATTCTTCGTTGCGAGCCCATGAATTTGCGGCGATAAAAAGTCACAGACATGGAAAACATACGATCAGCTCATCTGAAACACCAGCAGTTTTCATGTACTGTAATTGGTATTAAATGAGCAGTGTACCTGTACGATATCTATATAGTATAGTATAAATATGGTACAATGTATAAAGCAACTGGTGTTGTCTCTTTATCCTACGTACTTTTACCTGCCGCTTAGCTCCAAATCAGTGGGCCAAATGATTCGAGACTAGCCATATTTGCAGTTTCATTGCTGCCCGGGGGCTGCTTCTGGCGGGTATCATTCTTCAAGCGTGCTTCTGTATCAGCCACGTTCCTCTCAGCGAACACGGGTCTGCAAATGGTGGGCCGATGAAGAGAGGGTCTCATCACAATCTACCGGATGCCATCTAAACATGATGCAGCAAAACACATAATCAGCTTTCTGCATCGCTCTACTCTATCAACATGGGCCTCTAGTCTTCGTGAAAATCCAGCGCACTCTGCGGCAAAGAAGAAACCATCAAGACCCAAAAGCGGCAAACATGGGGCTAGGGCAAGTCAACAATCTTACCAGGGACTAGGATCTGATGTGCAAGAATTGTCTTTTACATCATGTCCTTTAACTAACAACCAGCGTCGCGGTGTCACCCCTCCAATCCCCCCCGCATCATGAGCACTCCGAATCCATCAAAAAGACCATGACGTCCTTCTTTTTGTTTGAACCTCTGTGGGCACCCTGGGCCCTTCTCCGGGGCAACCAACCCACTTCCGCCGAAACCTTGATCCGATCGGCGGCCGTCCTTTCCAGGTCGCTCCGGACCACAGCCACTTCGTTGAAGCAATCGCTCAAGGAGTTCTGGGTGGTGTGCAAGGACTCCTGTGTGGCCGCCAAATCCTTGTTGGTGAAGTCCTCGGCGTGTGACTTGGTGAAGTCAAAGCCTAAAGACCATGCTCGCACACTGAGGTGAGTATACCACAAACATTCCTTTGATGATTCGAGTGTGAGAGGCAAGCAAGATGCCAACAGGATAGTCTTTTCTTAAAGCTATATAGGAGTGCATGTCCCATTGCCTTGGATGGCTATTGCACCCATTCTCCAACAAGCACCAGCTCTCCATTCACAACTTCAACCATGAGGCGATGCGTCCATTGAGAGCATTCACCGCCTGGTCTGTGTCGCCAGTAATCTTTGCTTTGGACTCCTGGCCGTGGAACAAAACCATTCGAAATCTGTCAGGGTCGGCATCGTTGATTCGGACGGATCTGACGCCAGAGTCTTCGAAAACACCGAGAAAACCGGTCACATCTTCTTGATGTTCATGAATATATATATATATATATGTGTGTATAACTTCCCGGAAGCAGCTGTAGCCACTGGATTCACACAAAAAAAGAGGAAACACAAAACTTCACTTTTTGATATTTTTAGAGTATGCCTCCGGACCCTACACCTTCCTGCAACCAAACGAACCCAACACCCCATAGACGGCCCAAGCGGATGAACGTTCCTCGAGGTTCGTCTCCACAGCCGTGATGTCGTGCCGCACCGTGGCCAAAATCTCATCCACCTGCGGGTGTTGGGTGATAAACTGGATCTACAAACACCTACAACAATGGCACAAAATGGTCCGAATGGTCTATGTTTTATTCTTTTTGCATGTGCTGAGTGGAGTGGGGGGGTTCTGCTGGTAAGTCGCTGAAGCCAGGTGGACCAGTGGAGATATGTGGAGATGAACGAATCCCATGGCCCAAAACAACTCAAACCATAGTAGTGCATCTTCATGAAATGCTCATGGCTCATGGCAATCAAACCAAGTCGTCTGGGCTATTTCCGAAAGCTCCATGAAGCACTCCCCCCCTGTGAAACCGCGACCCAAGAAAGACCCCTGGGATGGTGTATATTGTATGCCAAGAAACCCACTATAAAGAGTATATATACTTATAGTGGGACCATAGTATGTGCAAAGAAACCCACTATAAAGAGTATATATACTTATAGTGGGACCATAGTATATGCAAAGAAACCCACTATAAACAGTATATATACTTATAGATAGTGGGACCATAGTATACACATAATCCATGGCTTAACAACACACCGCGACCCCCTGGAGAGCCCCGTCCGGCCCGTCCGTGCGACTGGACGACCACTGCGTGTCCGTTGGGTCCAGCTCTGTCCGGCGAGTCAGGTCGAGTGCGCTGTACGACCGGTACCCACAGCCTGGGCGAAAGCAAACCACATAAATACCGTTTTGGGGGGGCAAAAACCCATGGTCAAACTCATACATCTACTCAACTGCTAGCCTGGTCATGAAGCCCTTTTTGCGTGCTCTTTGGTGAGTCCATGTGATTCCTCAGCATCTGAAACTGCATTCCAAAACCATGTTCCTCTGCAAATCTTCCTCACTCCTCCCAGCTGTGCCCATTGTACAGCCACATGTCAGCCACCGACCCCATGCACCGCCTTGCGGCGGCGTGCGTCCACGTCCAAGCGCAGGGAGCTCACCATGTCGCGCACCGTCATCGTTGGCTTCCTGCGGTGCGATGCCGAAAAACGAACGACGAACGAGCGGCTCGCGAGCTGTTGGGTGAGGAATGGTGAAGGTTTTTATAGAGCTCTTTATTAGTGGCCCACGAAGTGGTACAGAAGTATATTGTATGTACCTGGTGGACCACGAAGTACAACCAAACATGTTTCTTGGGAGTGGTAGGGCTACCCAGGTCTATCAAAATGTTGTACTAAGTGAACTGTAGATCCCCATGCCTATTCACGTGTCACGGGAGGATTTTGTTGTTTCAAGTGTCACAAGTCTCCTGGACCTCAAAGGCAACAAGTGAGCTGGTCTAGCCAATGCCCCGCAAAAAGTGTTACTGTTACACAAAGATAATTGCTTGTAAATTCATTGTTTACACCAACATCTTCATGTTTGATTAAACCAATTGCCCATCTCCTTCCAAGCAACGTTGTCAACCTTGGTGTCCAGCTTGGTGTTCATCTCGTTCTTCCTTGCTTGTGAGCAGAAAAGCCACCTGCACCACTCAGGGGGTGCGAACAGTTTGGGATTTGGTGGCCTCCGTCCATCAAAAAAATACATTTGGGTGGGATCTGCCCACAAAGATACAACACAAATGGTGATTTGATCCTTTTGGAGGGGATCGCGGTGGCTACCGACTTTATACAAAGAATCGGGATGACCCCCAACATCCCCCAACTGCCATGGCCAACTTGGCCAACTTGGCCAACTCCACGTGCGCTTGAGTGCCCGCTGGCGCCCGTTTCCGCAGCCAAGGGCGAATAAGGGCGAGTCTCAAGTTGATGATGTCCTCAGTCAAGTTCTCTTCTTTTTCCTGCATCTGCTGGAGGGTGTTGGACCTCATTTCGCCAAAAGGGGACACTGCATGAAGCAAAGCTCATCGATCAACAAGCTCACTGTGCTAGGTGTCTAAAGGCATCGGTTTTGAATTGATGAAAGCTGAACGGCCCGTGATCTATGAGAATCTATGGTGGATCTAGTGGCAAAACACCACCTGAGAAGTACATGACATGAACTAAAATCACAAGATGAGCTTGTGAGGTCCTATGTGAAAATCACATGAGTCCTCCAAGCCTCCCAGTCCTTGGAACTAAACTCACAGTCCGCTTCACCGGAGGACATGGGAGCTCCAAGGTTTTGCCCTGCTGTCCAAGCCACACATCCTCCATCCAGCTGTCATGGTTCTTGAGGGCCTCTTGGATATCACCTGAGCTGATGAGGGTGTTCAGTAGTGGGGCCCACAAAAAAAAAGAGTAAAAAAATATATAAACATACTATAATTACAGTAACACATACAGTTCTGCAAAGCACAAAGGCAGAACTGGAAACTACATGGTTCTGCACTTATGTAATTCTATGCTCTTGTGGTTTCTTCATTCACAGTGCCTTTACTGTAGCTGCCTGCGGTCGCGTCACCCTGGCCGGCCGGCCATTCTACCAACATGTCATCGCAACCTCAAATCCTGTCATTGCAACCCTACGGATCCAGTCGTACCTTCTCAAAAAGTGATTGGAGACACTGTGGGTTCGGAAGGTCCAATCGTATCTTCCGAGTGGTCTGCGACGACTCCAACTGGCTGGCGGTCTAGCCGCCGATGCTTTTGCCCGAAGCCAAGGGAAAAGGACAGGAAAAACTGGGGTGGATCTTGTTTTATAGGTCCAGGGTCTGGGCAAAATCTGATCATTGTGAATTGTGACGCAACAAAATCACAAACAGTGGCTATCTACCATTCAAAAGGAGTGTCAGGATGTGTCAGGACATCCTTCATGACATCTTCTGTTGATCTATTTCATCTTGTGATCACATGTGATCCCCAAATAAGTTTATTTGCATCTAACATGATCACCAATATGACAACAGTAGTGACAAGTGTATCGCTACTAGTCGCAAGAAGCTAGTAGTAAATACTTGAGGCATCACACATGCTCCTTGGGGCGCAAGTGGTCCTTGGGCGTTCCCATAGCTCGGCAAAGCGGCCAATGTCCAAGCGCATGGTGGAGATCTCAGCAGTCATCGTGGCCTGGGAGCGCGTCCAGGAGTTGCAGGAAGTCGGTGGATCGATTTACAATATCTCTTGAACTCAGGGGTTTGCAGCACCTCATCTCCTGCAACTCATATATGTAATAGTACCATATAGTTGAATCTGAAGTTCCCCACAATTCTACTGGCTCCAAAAAAGAATGTATATATATATATATGTGTGTGTGTGTGTCAAGTGTGCGCGGCTCAAAAAGTCGCAAAAACACGTCCCAATTGTTCAAATCTCATGGTCCGTCTCTGGATTCCCCGTCGATGTTGACCCCATACCCACGACAGCTGTGTTTACAATACACGATGTCAAATGCATGTTGGAAGGGGGTGTCTTTGCTCTGCGCCTGTTTGAGTGTTATGGCTCAGAAGTAGCGGTGTCCCCGTGACCATCTCTGGTCCTAGCAGCTGTCATCATTAATTGATGAGTACTATATATGTATCTTAATGACATAAATGCATCTTGTCTGTTTTCAGCCCAAGTTCCACTTCCACATGCAAGTATGCATCTCTGGATTTGCTGCAGCTTTTCGGCTTGTCAAGGGTCCAGCGACGTGGCTCTACTACTAGCACCACCCCTGGCGAGCTATACGCTACGCCGCGTAGCCGCGCACCTCCACGCGCTGACGGCTTGTAATGATGGAGTGGGTGGCATCCACGCGTGCGCGCATCTCATCCAAGTCCACGTTCACCGCATCCATGGCAGCAGTGAAGTCCTATGGAGGAGAAGTGCTCGAATCATGGGTGAAGCATGGTCCTTTGACTAAGCGCCCCAAGATCTGGAATCTCAGAAACTAGAACGAAACATATCCTCGAATTGAAGGAAGCATGCAGTGGACATCTGAGATGATGCCACTTCTTTCAGTACAATTCACCAGCTTCAAACTGCTTCTTGCGGTTCCTGTCAAAACGATCCCTCCAGCCGTGACACCCCTTGGACCGACCTCCATGTCACGCTCGCAGGCCAAAACAATCCGACGGATGTGGTTCACCTCGCCCTTGTTGTTTCCTGGGTCGATCGGCGACCTCACCCAGCGATTGCTTCTGACCCGATCGATGGACCTCGTCCGGACCTCCGGCATCAATGGGGGCGGCCCATCCGGCAACCTGAGGGTAAAAACCACATTGATCTGGACCCCTGGTGAAATCATGAAGTATAGGGTGGCCAAGCACGGGCCAAGCAGTTGTGGTTGACTGTTGGTGTCGCGGACTGGTGCATTTTACGGGGGTCTTCAGCTGCAACGATCTCCGAGAACGGTCAGCCAGGTGTGGAGAGCTTCGCAGGCTTCACTGGCTTAGGTTAGATACGGCTTGTCCAAATGTGAGAGCTGCCTGGCTCACGTCTCTAAAGCCGCCTACTGGGAGCGGATGGCATAACCCCAACTTCGGATGACCCTTGTCCGAAGACCAAAGAGGTGGTGCCACCCACTTCCATGATTTCAGGGAGTGCACTCCCCTGCCAATCAACATGGAACCCCAAAACCACTGGTTTGTAGGGGAAACTGGTTGAAGCCGCCCGTGAATTCTCAGGTTCCATGGGATCGGTGGCGGGCCGCGTGACGGGAGCGATGAGCCCGGCCGGCCGGGATCGGAGGATGGAAGCGATGGAAGGAACACGTGTGCAATGGTGAGCAATGGGTAGTCCCCGGGTAGGAGCACTGTTAATACAAGTACACTGTAAATACGTTATAAATATATCATTTAAACACAGATACACACACAGATATATGAATATATCTATCTATCTATCTTATACAGTAACTACATTACATAGTACTACATATTATACAAGGGACTCCATTCCCTTATGTGGCACAGGGGCCCAGGGGTGATTCTCTGGATAAAAGCTTTGTGCAGTCACAGTCACAGTCTCTCTTGTTTTTGTTGTGTGTTTTGTTTTTCTCTGTCTCCCTCTATCTCTTTATAAAAAAACCTTCCAAACGAAGAAGTCCAGGCAGTTGAATACCCATACCTGACTGAGCTGGTCCTGGGGTCTTTTCAGTTGATGGACCCACACCATCTGCCATGTGACCCAGAAGGTCTTTGAGCTCACCAACGTCATATTTGAGCTGGTCCAGGTCCTGCGACAAAAACACATCAAACAGGAGACAAGTGCTTAATTAAAGGAAGCCCAGAAACAACAACTTCCATTTGCTCGCACAGGTTAAAAAGCAGCAAAAATACACAAAACATAACAACAGCACTTGGTGTACCTATCAATGACTCATGTCTCATGAAAACAACCTCCTCACGCTGTCAGAAAGTTGAGAAGTAAACAGTAGACTCACCAACATGGAAGTGGAACACCTCCTGCGTTTACGTCCTCCCAGGAGTCATTCCACATTTCCATCATATACTATAAAAGCTACTAGGAACAAGTGCATCGCTTCTAGTAACAAGTGCCTTACTAGTAGTAACAAGAAGCTACTATGTCATACTATATCCACATCTATCCACATACCATCCACTTCCATATGACTTCGTGGAGACCGGAGCCGAGGTCCCCGGTCCGTCTCGGTCCGTCTCGGTCCTCCGCCATGGTGTCCAAGCCAGCGGCCCCCCCTGCGCCATCCACGGGCTTGGTCGAGGAGGCGCCGCGGTTCACATGGCTGAGCTTCTTGTCGAAGTCCTGTGGACGTCAGGCAAACGTGGCACGTTTGCCCAAAGCTACACTGGCTGGTTCAGGGCTGGGGTTCCCGTTCAGCGCCCGCGTCGTTCCATTCACACCCTGCAAGTCTAGACTGCGATGGCCGTATTTTTGGAGGAACCTGGAAGGTCATGGAAGGTCAGCCGGCTATTGAATCGGGGGCATCCTGCCAAGTCTCAGGTCCAGATTTTCAGAAGTATCTGCTTCAGGTTGAGTTGGGCCCTATTAATATGAAACCGAGCCCAAAAACAAAGAAAAGGATAATGAGGGTTGTCTGTGGTCTCTTCTCTGGGCCCCTTCTTGGACCTGGGGCATTTGCATCCCTGTGATTTTGATCATAGTATTTTCCTTTCATTCGCATAAGTTACAGTAAAAAAGAAACAAAAAGCCGAAACCAGCCGGTCCATCCGGTGTCATCAATAGTGTCAATATATTGATGGGGTCGATGATTTTGTTTATTTCTTCCTTCCTGTTCATATATTTTGAGGGACTAGGACAAACACATAAGTAGCAAAAAAGAAGGGCATCATGAATGAACAAAAAGAGTTGTAACCCATATTCCAAGCAAAAGCCACGGCAACTACCTGCCCTGCACCAAACGTCGGACATAGAAGCCAGCACCGTCTGCCCCCAGATCCATCCATCCGTCCCCGGTCCGTTTGCAGGTTTGAGAGCTGCGCCGTGATCTGTGATTCGAAATCTTGGAGACGCGTCGCCACCTTCCTCACGACGTGCGAAGAATTAGGAGCGGTGAGACCCATGTGCACGAGGTGTGCATTGGAATAGGGGAAACGTACAACTAACATTGACAGGTCGACCTCTTGCCAGGGAGACTCCCAACTGAAACACTGGTTATGTCTCCATGGAGGTTGTTTGCATCCACCAATTGATGGAGATCACTTGAAAAAAGATAGGAGTTTTTGATATAGAGGATGCTAGAAGTTCTGTTGATAATCCTCGAGTCGAATGCTGACTTTGCTTGTCCCTAGTTAGTTCCAACATGTTGCAAATATATGATGCGTATATAAATAACAATTATATAACTATACATGCATACTGCATACATATAAAGATATGTTGTGCATGTCATACATGTATAATCACGTATATACGGAGACCACTACGGATACCTTGCTTATTGGGCAAGGTCTGTAGAAAGGAACACCTTTAGCAGGAGAGCTCCATTTGAGCTGAATCATGTTCCGTGGATGTCTGATGGCTGTATAGTCATGGTGCTTTCTGTACTGCGAGAGGTGCAGGTTGCTTTGTATAGGATGGCTAGCAGGGACGGGTTTCTTGGATCAGTTTCATCGATGCTCCTCGAATGCGAAGACTGCCAAGAAGACAACAAATTGCCAACCCTTAGAGGTAACTTAGTTGGAGCCCATCAATAAGTAGATAGATCTAGCTGTGTCCCATCTACTCCAAGCTGCATGCAGTCTTTGTTTCGGTCTATGGACCCTGGCGTGCTTTATTAATCCACGTCCTCTCAATGGACTAACTGATTCCTCACCCATCCACCCCCCTTCTGAGCCCTGAAATCCCTGAGCCTGCTATTCTAATGCCGCTGCGAGTCTTCATCACTTGTGCATCGGACCCAGCTTTGCGCGGCGCTCCTGGGCTGGGCGTTCCCGGTGGCAATGGACAGGAAGACCTCTAGCGGGAAGTCTTCATCTTTCAAAGCCAGCTCCAAGTCGTCATAGAAACCAAAGATGCAAAGGAATCTGGACCTACAGAAACACCTATATAAGGTCCTGGAAGTCAAATGTATCGACAAAACATCACATATATTCACAAACTATCATTCCCCTGGTTAGAGAGAGAGCTGTCATGGTGCTCCAAACCCTCTAGACCTGTCTTTCTTGCGGGGAGCTCATGGCATCAGTCTACAACAGAAATTCTATGACATTGTCATATACACAGTGCAGTACGTGGACTTGAACCTCTCTCTCTCATGTTTTTGCGGTGCCCACCTTCGGAAGCAGGATTTTCACCACCAAAACGGGATGACCAAACTGACACACCCGGGTTGCACCTCGCGGTTTTCCCACGTTTTGCCGTTGTTCTTCGGTCCTCCATCCTCTTCCAAAGCTTTCTCGACAGCTGCCAAGCGCTGCTGTAGCTCTTCCAGGCTGGGGCCAGCGGGAGGGCCAGTGCCAAGGGGTGCCTGAAAAGTCCGGAACGAGAGACCTCGGAACTGACCTCGGAGACTTGGAAAACACACGACATGGAGCCCGAAATATTCCCAGCACTATCCCCCAGACACTCTGGAGGCTTGCCTGATGTGCAAAACAACCCCTGCTCTCCGCCCCATCACGCACCGATGCATGTGATACTTGGGGTTGTTGATTATGCAAGGCTCAGCTTTTGCCAAGACTCCTATACAAACGGATATAGAGTCAAAATACTAGTCAGATGCGCCGCGCAAGAGCAAAAACCCATACTTTCCCCAGCATTGCATGTTTCCTGAGCTAGGGCCTAGGGGTATATCGGAAAAAATGCACTCCAACCATTGCATGTGCGTATACTGATTATTGGCTTTGCAAATTCTGGGTTATCAGCCTCGTTATCAAACCCCAAAAAAAGGCAATGACTCACCACTACCCACGCAGACTTTGCCCGGGCAAAGCACCCAGCACTTGTGGAGAACAGTACTCCAATATACGCAAATACAGTTCTTTTTCTTTGACTTGCTTTAGGAAATTTAGGAACCGGTAAGAATAAAGATAGAGAAAGAACATCCCCCAAATGGGGGTTCACGGCACGGGGGGTTGATGTTGACATCACCCCAAACAAAAACAAACCATGGATTCTATATATAGTGTCAGTCTATATGTCATTCTATGTCCATTGCCATCTTCAGATGTTCCATCTGTTGCCATCTCCTCGGTCATCACTTCGGCCGAGACACTGCCATCTTCGAGCGGGCGTCGGGAACGCCGCGTGGATCGGAGAATATCGGAGATGTCGGGACACGCGGCTGGAGCCAAAGGCTGGGAACGGTCGGTGGGTTCCTTCACCCGAGCTCCGGTTCCAGAGTCCCCAGCTGCAACCAAGCCTTCTGAATCGTTTGAAGTCTGGGCGAACCAACCAAACTAATGCATGTCCCCATGCAAGAATCTGAGCACACAACTTGCTGGGGTACTGAAGCACTGACATGACAAAGAACCCTGGAAGCAAAACCCTCGCTCATCGCTTCTGCCCAAACTTCAGTACAACCCTTCATGATGCAGCTGCAGAAGTGGACTACTTGCACCACCGTGGCCGAACAAGTGCACCAAGTTTTTACAATGTGTTTGACCTCCTTCCTGAAAGCCTCTTTTTCATTCTTTTTCCTCTTTCTTCCCCGACCCCCCCAGTGCCCCGCCTCCGAGGCGCTCGGCGCCAAAACAGCGCCCTGGAGCTCGCTCTGGCAGAGCGCCTCGCGGCAGGAGGACCCACCAAGCGGAAGGGGCGGCTTGACCGCCGTGTGCGATGAAAGCCTTGGTGACCGGCTTTGTGGGATGAAAATGGTTGACCAGGCGGGTACGAGTTGTATGGGGGGATCATGGCCCTAATTACATGGAATGACTTTGGGATTGGAGAAGGAAACGATCAGCATCTCTCCAGTCTGTGGACTCGTCTCCAGTCCACGACTTGCATCAATCATGTCATCTCTACAACGGGGGCGTTCCGGAGCAACTAGGTGCATGTTCATGCACTTTCCGTGGTACCATATGAGCCTACTAAAGGAATACGCCATACAGAACCTCGCACCTTTTTGGGGCTTGCGAAGCCGGGTGCTGCCTGTGCCAGTCGTCTACGATTCTCTGGGTCAGCCACTTTCTCCACCCAGCTACACAGGAAGTGTCGCAACCTTTTGACGTGTTAGGATGAAACACTTGTCACTTGAGTATGAGTAGCCGCGACTGGCCATGTTTCCATGCTTCTGTTCTGTCATGCTCGTTTGCTGGTGCACTAGACATGGATCCACTCATCTCAGAACACCACGGTGGCAAGCATGCAGCCCAAAGACTGCCTCAGTGTCACTGGATTCCAACAAAAAGGTCCAATCCTTGCTTACCGCGGAGACCCTCCATCCACTAGAAGGCCACACAGGCCATGCAGCTTGTCTTCCATCTTTAGAAACAAGAAGCTAGTAGTAACAAGTGCATCGCTACTAGTAACAAGTGCCTTACTACTAGGAACAAGAAGCTAGTAGAAACAAGAAGCTTGTAATTAGAATTAACCATCCAGAAGGCCACACAGGCCATGCTTGAGCTTTTCTTCCTCCATGTTTGTTGCGGAGCCCAACGCTCCGTGAGCCCAACGCTCTGGGTTTTCGACGCTCGGCCCAGCAGGCAGTGTTGGACGGCCGTCATCCCACATTCTGAATGGATGAGCACCCTTACATTGACGGTTCATCGATATGTCTTTACGCCCTGAAAGGTAAATATGGAACCCGAAACCACTGGCACTTTGTGGAGGAAGCTCGTCTTCCAAAGGTCCTTTTCTTTTTCAGATTCCATGTTAGTCTTCCGGGTTTACATTTCAACCACTGTACTGTAGGACTTTCCACACTAGTTACAACTGCTGAGGCACAAGATGTTGTTGGTCATGATCTCATCGATATCCCTTTCCAGCCGCTTTTTAGCATCCACCTTGCCGGCCTGGCGACGAAGAATGCAATGAAGAACTAATCAGGACAGACTTGTTCCCAAACCATCCAAAGGGTGTCCAATGGAGATCTCTACATAGTGTCGGGTAGTCTATTTGACACCGATGGTCCGCCTGGCGCCCAGCGAGGTCCCATTTGGAGCAAGCCACCATTGGTCACCATAGTTATCCACACAAATGGCGAAGTTGACTGAATGTATATTCTAGAATAACACTGAGAATGCGCGTTCCATGCAGAACATGTATCATCATTTATCCATCTCCCTCTCCGCTGTATATAGTCGAGCATGTGGACAAGTGACTAATATGACCAATCAGCCTGCCTGTTAAACTAAAGACGCCTTGACTCAAACCGACCCGAGAATTGAACTGGGAAATCATGGCGCCTGGTTCACAACGAATTCATCCTCGGTGCTCTTGAACTCCTCCTGGATCATCTTGTTGTATTTCTCCTCGGTCGGCCGCGACTGCCGCCAGCCGGAGAAAAAACAAACAAACAATCGATGTAGAATGCCATTCTAGCCCACAGTCTCTCTGGTTGGTTGGTTGAGCACAATCAATCACTTAAACACTTGTTAAATGTAATTTGGCACTACTGCTACTCTTCCGTTGGGCTGAAACCCGCACATATCAATTGACTGAATCGAGGTGATCCACCGCAGTGGAAATGCTTCATTTTCAAGCATTCATCAAATCATGAAATCTGATCAAGTCTATATAGGCCGTCTGTACTACATCTTGGAATCTTGACAGGCCCTAAGCGCTACAGATTTCCTTTCTTTTAATGACATCACAGCATATCAAAGCCTCACACCTACCAGGTCAACGCTTGTTCAGAAGGAACAAAAAAAAGATCAAACACGAAAGGTTCTCGGTTCCAAGAACTATATAATTGACTTGAGAGGTCAACTACTGTTACTACTACTACTACTACTCCTACTCCTACTCCTACTCCTACTACTAGCGCTACTATCCGTTCCAACAACCTGCTGGCCAGGTTGCAGTGAGATCCAGCATCTCTTTGACCTGCCGACTGTCGGAATCAGCAACCAGGCCACAAAGGGCCACAACACTCAGCTTCACCACACGTCACGTTCCCTCCTGCGCGACACAACTATATAATATAAGGACCCTGTCTGTTACAGTCTATGCATTTGCGGTGTACTGCATTTAGATGTACAGTAAAATGACCTGCGTATCACATACAGTGTTGTAACGTACCTTTATCTGCCTTTATTTATCGCATTGTCTCATATACCGTACTTCTATGTAGCACATCTTCATGCCTTGCTGGCATCCTGGGAAACATCTCAACCTAGCCTACAGAAACAATATATGTATATATATATATGTGTGTGTGTCCAAACCTGACTCCTGAAAATGGCAGAAACGCATGTATGTAAAAACATGTACAGTAATAATATATATATATATATATATGTATGAGATGAATGTTATCCTTGGGTCCTTTGAAAGGGATCTGTTCGTGTCCAGGCACAGTATCCTTTGAACTGCTTAAGCATGAAAAGTACCTGGTACCTCCTTGCAGCCCAAGTGCAGTCTTCTCATTGTCACTCTCATGAGTGTCGAAGTTCGTCAACTTCAAGCCATCCTGAACTGCGCAGAAGTCACTGCGCGGCGCGGCTGAACAAACAGCTTTGACCAGCCGAAGTGGCTCACACACCAAAAAGCAACATGCAAAATCATGTATATATATATATATACATGTCATATTACGAATACGAGTAACCAGTCCTCCGTGACCAGTCAAATTGGCTCTGAGCCAATCCGTGCTTAAGCTGCTGTTCATCTTCTCAAAGAGCCTTTTCTGCAGCCTTTGCTCGTCGTTTCCGCCGTCCTGCCATTTCTTCTTGCCGAGGTTGAGGAGCATCTTCTGCTCGAGGTCGTTCTTTCGGTAGTTGATGGCAATGGAGTAGTAGTGACCTCAGAGTGTCACAGCGACGTGTCTTTCTCTTCGAGCGCCACCAGTACTCTTCTGCCCGACTCTACCCAGAGACCATGGAACTCCTGGGAAGCAAGCATTGCCGAGTTCCCAGTTCCACCCTCCCTATATATTACATTCTATTACTAAGTATACCACCTGCGGCGGAGTTGCAGGAGAAACACATTGAACCAAACATGGCCAGTGCTGGGACTTGACTGCAGTCTGCACCGGAGCCAACACCCGTGTTCCAACTCGCCAGCCTTTCAGTGGCCAAAGCCAGCTCTTTAGGAGATCTGATGGCTCCGAAACTGGAGTCCGACCAGGACTCCAGGACTACCCTTGTCTTACTCACCCACGCCTGTGCCGCATGTGTACCACTACCACCTAGTACCAGTGTGTACATGTGCAGCATTGTGGCGAGATCTTTCCTTCTGGTGTAGTGATGCAGTCGAAGGCTGCAAAACTATATAAACAATATCAAGCTTGGTCAAAATGGGATAATTCTTTAGTTCCCCAGCGCCGACCAAGGCAAGCGCCTATTCTTGTTGGCTCAAGACCTCATGCCTCAGCCATCATGCGCTTGGCTTCAGGAGACTCCAATTCCGGCGGGTGTGTCACACTGAAGGCTGTGGCGGCCAAGAGTCCCGCCAAAAGCTCCACCAAAACGTAGGACGTGGCGCTGACAGCACCGCCGCCCGTGGCGGCCAAACCAAGACTCACTGCAGGGTTCAAAGATCCTCCTGACACATTTCCAATCGCGAAGCCCCCCACCACCACGCAGAAGCCAATGGCCAGGCCAAAGAAATGTGAAGCCTTGGTGACAGCGGACACGGCCACCGAGAGAACCACATAAGACAAGGTGAAGGTGAAGACCAGCTCGGCCAACAACGCCTGATAGAGATGATACGGCTCCTTGGCGCCAAAGCTCCCCATCGGCGCGCCGAAAAGGCCCACGGCGACCAAGGCCGCAAGCACGGCGGAGAGCACTTGCACCACCATGTAGAGCACGGCCTTTGTGGAGGTGAAGGTGCTGTCACGCGCGCTGAAGAAGACGGCACAGGTGACAGCAGGATTGAAATGACCACCTGACACATCCCCCAAAGCATAGATCATGGCGGACAATGAGCATGCAATGCTGAGTGCTGCCGCGGGTGACTTGGCCAAGACATTGCTGCACACCGTGAGGACCAAGACAAAAACGCCCAAGAACTCACTGAGCAGCGACTCCTGCAGCTTGGTGCTGCTGCTGGGTACCTCGAAGTCACCTGGCCTCACTTTGCTAAAGAGAAAGGCGGCCAAGAGGGCGCCCAGGAGCTCAAAGATGACCTTGGAGTTCCAAGAATCACATGAAGAACAAAATGAACTCATGAAGAACAAAAGAAACTAAAGTCATCCCATGGTAGACTCCCTAGACGTAGATTGTTCAAAGGGATTCACAGGGGACATGAGGGCATCCTTTTCAAACAATCAGCTCAAGGAAAACCAGGTGACATAAAGGAAGCAGTGCCCGAAGCCATGACTCAGGCTGGTGACATCCAAAGAGAAGGCCACCGCTGGATTGAAAGCGCCGCCAGAGATTGCACCAGCACCATAGGCACCTGCCACAACGCAAAATCCAATGGCCAATGCAAAGTACTGGCCCTTCTCCTCCTGGTTTTTCTTGGCTGCAGCAACGTTGAGCACCACGAAGCAAAGCCTTGGATATGCAATGCGCCAAAAAGGAACCAGGATGAAACAAAAACGCACAAACAAATTTCATAAACATGTCCGGAGCAAACAACTATTAAAAAAAAAACACTATCAGAAATCACCCTGAGCAAAGCAAGGAAGCATGAAGGTGTAGAAAAGCTCGCACATGCCAGCTGAGAGCATGGTGTAACCGCTGGTCACTTCCAAAGTGGCGGACTTGCCAAACATGAGCGAGGCAGTGATCGCAGCCACAGTACCAGCGACATACTGTGTCAAGCAGTAGGTTCCTTGGATGTTGTTAAGGAACCTGGAATGTTGATCTACAGATCTATAATTAATATTCAGAATAAATTCCCAAACGGCTTGGGAGTTCACCTATAGGACGTCCGTGTGTGGGCTCAGCTCCGTTCACCTCCGAAAAAGGTGAATTTTGCTCAGGCCGTTTGGTTGCCCAGGTGGCCTTTCTGAAACAACACGTTGGAAGAAAACACGATCCAAAAACGGTACACTCTGACTTTCTAACATGGAAGCGGAAAAAAAAGTCCACCGATTTGTAGAGGAAAGTCGTCTTTCCAAGGGACCATACCATCCACTAACCCATGTTAGTGATCAGTCAGAGTGTATGTCTGACCTGCGCAGTTCCAGGGATCCGACCTGCTTCCAGGGCATTCCAGGTCCGCCCAACGAATTGACACAGCCTAAGGACACCGACACTGCCGGGTTGAAGTTTCCACCACTGATGCCTCCCAGGGCCTGAATGGCCACGAAAAGCACCGTGCCAATGGAGAGGCCAGCGAAGATGGGAGAACCCACCAAAACATTGCACTCCACGGTGAAGACCAACAGTGCCGTACCAATGAACTCCGCCAAGCACTTGGAGGTCATCGACGGTTGCGCCATCGCTTGCCAAATGGAGACGGTTCGATCTCGGGTAGTATATGGTTTGCTTGAGCCAAAGTAGCCAGCTACTGGCATCAACATGCGTCTACAGATCTACTCGTGCTTCTGCTTCAGATCCCCCCCCACTCGCACGGAGACCGACCGTCGCTCCGAACACATCCCAACACCGAGGGACGGTTGAGGCCATGGATGAGGGCAGTGATGCTGGGCTTGTTCAGGTGGCCAATGTTTGAGGTCGTCTGCCGAGGCTCCTGCGGTCGGACCGAGCGCCCGGCACCAGCCAGCTGAGCATCCTCTACCAGTTGAAAAGGCTCATGGTACTGGAGAGTAGAGATATGTGGAGGTGGATAGAGATGGCTTTTCCGGAGCTTCACCAGTACAGCAATGGATTGGGAGGGCCCGCAGAATGGGCCTCTCCCCCAAAAATGGTTGCCAGTGCTCCTCTACCCGAGTCCATGGTCCAAGTCCATTGGGCTTTTCAAGCGAGACCTGTGACCTCTTTTTGCACCGCATGGGCATCCACTGCATCGCACAGCCGAGAACACCCGTGCATTCTCGAGATCGGGCCTGACCAAGCATCAACATCTGGTGATTGATAAGTCCTTGGTTGGCTAGGGGGGTGAATGAGTTTCAATGCTGAAGAAAGGTTCGGAACGAAGCGAACGAATGCAAGTCACAACGACATTGACATGCAAAGAATACAGTATTCCAAACGGGATGTTCTGCCGTTCTGCCTGCCAACAATGTGCCTCTCCACGACACTCGCAAGGGGCATGGATGATTTCTTTGCTCGTGACTCATGCGTGACTACAATGTTCCAAGACATATCGCTCAAATTGAAACCGGTTGAGCTCAAACAACTTGACGCGTTGGATAGTTGGATGGCTCCGCATTTTTGAGAGGTTGGCAACTAAAAGGCGCTTGCATCAAGTGGCCATCGGCCCCAAATCCAGTACCTTCAATGCCCGGTACCACACAGGAGCGGCAGTTCTTTGGGCATGTCCATTTCCCCCCCCATCTTCACCCGACCCTGGACTCCCTGCAGTCCATCCGCCAAGGGAGATCTCTCCCTGCCAGCTCGGCATCGAAGTGACCTGCCAAGGGGCTAAAGCAATCAATGACCACCTTGCCCTTCACGGACTGAATGGGGTCCACGACCACGCCCACCGCCCGTGGGTTCAGCTGCTCGAAGCTCTGCTGTGTGTTGATGTCCTGAGATTGACGACGCAGCGTGAAAGGAGGAGTCTGGCAGTGTGACAGCAAGACAGCAAGAGAAACGGATAGAAAAAAACATGAAACAACTCTTCTTCATCTTGGCATCAAGTGAATCAAGTGGCTTGGCGATTGATTTGACATGATATGACCTTGTCCACTACACACCCCAAAAGATCCCACACTGACCATCAACACCTACACTACACTGAGAGAGCCTGGTGAAGAAACCTCATTCTTGATGCTCTCAACCAACCATGTAAGTTCATCGAGCTAAATATAATTTAACCATCAAAGAACATAATCGTTCTCCATCCAGTCCATCCAAGCATTGTTGGCAAGTCAAGAACTTTGGCCTCTGAATGCCTCCATCCGAGCTATGGCTATGAGTATCTTGTTGGTAAGTGCAAAGGCCATTTTCTTCGTAAACAGTTAACTGAGTTAGCTGTGAGATTGACCATCTGCGACCAACCAACGCACCCGAGCCATCAAGCTGTACCATCAGTTCGTTGGGAGGCCGGATGGACGTGCTTTCGCTCATGAGCCAATCAGCCGCCGTTAGCTCTTTCCGGACCCTAAGGGTGGAGGGCCATCTGGGCAGCGGGCTTGTCATCAGGAAACACCCGTAGGGTGCTGGTGGTGATTCAAGAGCCAAATGACCCAACAAATCCCCGCAGTCCGACTCCCGCAACGAGGCATTTCGTTCCTGGGCCTGGGTGAGCTGATTCCGTGGATTCCGTGCAGCCAAAGGCCACGAACGAACGACTGCTCAATCCGCCATGGCCCGCGGATGCTCCCCCACCAGCGTCGGCGAACCCAGTGAATGCGCGCCCAAGCAACGGTGCCGGAGAACCAGCAGCCGAAGCCCGGATGGGAGTGATACCATCCCACCACCATCTCAGGCCTCGAACAGGGAGACAAAAAGCTGCAACAACCCAAGTTCGAACGAACAGTGCTAACAAGCTTATAGAAGCTCAGAACTGACTAGATCTTGCTCCAGTTCACCATCTTCACCAGATGGTTATCCCATGTTCTGTCCAGTCTGCTTGCTCCATGGGCCTCCCAGTCTGCTTCAGCATGTCCAACATCTTGGTCTGAAAAACGGGGTCCACGGCCTTTGTCGGAACGGCCACCGACGGTGGAACGGCTACCGTGTGAAGGCAAGTACATCTGGTTCTCTGGTGGTCATCTTGTGGAGATCAAATTTCAGATTTCACTGGACCCAGGCCACAGAAAAACCGCATTCTACTGAAGGAACCAGATCCAGCACCCTCCATAGAACCACAGAAAAGCACCGCGAAAAAGGCCGTGCGAAAAGGGGCTCCAAAAACCCAAACCAAGGGCGCCCGGATTTCTTGTTCTGTGAGGACTATCGGTTTAATCCATCTTTCTGCGACGTCGAACACACACCGCCGGCGGTGACCGCCCGGGCCTCGACGCTCACGCTATTGCCTGACTGAGGCATGGAGAACACATCCACCACTCGAACCTCAGAGAATCTCAGAGAGTCATGTTGCCAATCCCGACGTGATCCAGGCGGCGCACCGGTCTGCGGCCGGGCCGAGGGAGGGGGCGCCATACTGAAAATACTTCATGTCATGGTTCGTTCGCTGACCAAGACCAAACAGGAACACCAAATTGAGGCGACACGGACTCTCTTCGTACGTACGTACTGAACAAACATGACAATTCCGGGAGTCCACGGCCAGAAGTGCACCCCCAAGTGGGTTGCACACATGGTTGCCCCAAGATTCCAATCACCATTAATTACCATGTCTTACGCACTTAAAAGCCTTCAAAACCAGGTCAAACATTTCTTGTAAAATGGTCTCGGAAGGCTAGGGGTTGCAGGTCCTAGCCCCCTTGCGGTACACTGCCAAGGGACAGTGTAGTCATCGATGAACTCTCCCAGCATGAGGCCCATGACTTCCATTGGAACGCCCGCACGGCCGTGCTTCAACATCTTCCTCGCCAGTGGGAGACCCTCGACTCTCGACTCTCGGCGTTTTTGCCGGTTTGGGAGAAAATGAGGCGAAGAACTGAACGGCCCAAAATGAGGCGTCAAGCAGTTTTTTCAGAGGTGAATGCCAACACCGAACAGTGGAGCAGCTCAGACTAGCCATGGTTGTCTCCAACCTGTCTTAAATTCAAGAAGGTTTACGTCTACGTCGGGGATGGCCATTAGATGCTGTTAGGAAACCGAGGCCCGGAGACTGTTCCGAACTGCCAAGATGCAGAAGGGCCAAGGAGGAGATGTAAACCTCGCCGGCAAAGGAAGCTGGAAGCGGGACAGATTGGATAATTATTGCTCTTTGCCCCAAGGGCCCACGTATGCTAATGTTCACTCTTACTGCAGGTTTATAGAGGAGGTCTCTATCTTCCATCGCACACCAAGATTCACTTGAGTTATTGCGTGTACTTCCAAAGAGATGCTCCAAATGCCCGGCACTCTTCGTATCAAAATCCAAGCCTGCTCAGCGGTATCTGCTAGGGCCGCATCTTCTTGTTGCTGACCGCCACCGCCTCTCAAGCTGCTTTTGAGAGGAACGTGCAGTGCAAGGGCTGCAAGGGGTCAATCTTTATGGCATCCTCGAGCTTAGTGGCAGCCTATCTACACCTCCCAGTGGACAAACAGGCTGAAACAGGCCTGTTCTCAGTTTGCCCCAGGGAACGAGCCTCGCTCCCTTCCAAAAAGAACAGCCCGCTGTCTGCCAACGGGAACCAAATCGCTCGAGCCAACGGACACAAAATACACCGACACATCCAAAACGACAGAAACACACCGCCATGTGGATTGAACAACCTCTTCATATGAGGGGCTTATTAAGTTCTTGATCAAGAGTGTACATGAGTGGAACTGTAAATCTGCTTCTGACCCGTCACAGTTCAGTTGATCATCCTCAATCCTTCCGGTACAATGCACGAACCATCACCATCACCGAGGCGGACCCTCGTATGTGCGACGCGGACGAAAGTCTCCCACACCTGCCATGCCGGGCATGTTCCCCAGAATCCGCTGTAAGTTGAAGTTCCCTTCCATGGCGGCGTGCCTGAGCCATGGAAAGGGGATCGATCTAAGGCTCGCTGAGGAAACAGTTGGGGCTTCAACCAGATCCTGAGAAGGTGAGGGTTGGGGGGGTCAGTTCTGCCTTCTAACTGCTGAGGTTGGAGCCCCAGGGCCCTTGTCATCCAAATCTGCTCCACCGAAAAACAGCCCAAGATGGTGGGGTTGAGACCCCTGTGATGGAAGCTTTGCTGAAGATTTTATATGAACAGTTGGGTAACAATAACATCGCAAAATTTGGCCTGGTCGTAACACGGGCAAAGTGGAAGTGGCACGCAGTTGGGGGTTCTGTGTCCGACATGCCTTTCAGCTACCTGGTGATTTTGGATCTATTCCCTCTTGCTGGCACTATTGTTGATCGTGGTCTTCCCCGATCATCTGGATGGATTCCAAAGGTTCTCAGCACGGGTCACCTGTCAGTGGTTGAACTTTAGGGAGGATTGAGGATGTCCAACTGCCCGGATTACCGTCGCCAATTTTTCCACCAGCTAAGTCAAAGTCATTAGAAAATGGATGATTGGGCTCGTTCTCCAGCACATGCGTTGGCTTTGATCCAGAACTGTGAAGATGGGAGCCCTTAAACATCTGAACTGTGGAATTCTCTTGGCTTTTCGGGTTTCGATGTTTAATCCATCTGTGGACCCTGCAAGCTCGTGCTGCAGGGTAACGTGACAAACCAAAACGCGACCCTAAAAGCTCGTGCCTCGAATGCGGCGATGCGCACGAGGAATCTACTCTCTACCCTCTTTTCTGAGCCAAAGCCAAGGAAACGTATACATATGATAACCAAACTATCATTGTGCACTGCTGCAAAATGCTGCAATGATTTCAATATTGATGTGATTTTAAAGTAATAACGTACAATGATATTCCACTAAAACTATGTTGAGGTTGGACACACATCCCATTCCTTCTGAAGAAACTTGTTCAACACAAAAAAGGCTTGGGATTCTCGAACGGGTTCAAGTATGTTCAAGTTCACTACTCTCGGCTTTACACTTGTTTGTAGAGGAACATCGGCATGCAGGGCGCTATTTTCCATGTCCATCATTGTTTCATATTATAGAATTTATAGATATATTTCAGGCAGTGTAATGGCCGCCCACACTTTGCTGAAGCATTTCTGTCACTGTGTGCTGGCGTTCGATACATCATTCTGTCAGCTGCACAGTTGCCGCCCCCCACACAGGTGCATGACGAGGTGCCAAGTTGGCCAGGCTCAGTCAAAGATGGTTGTGGCTGAGAAAAAGGAAGGATTGGGTACCAAAGAGCATCAAAGAACCGTACGGTCTTAGACGGTCTTAGCATGTCTTAGCCTGAGCCATTCAAAAAAAAACAGAAATGGCTGATGATCTCCTTGCCAACGTTGCCACCCGGCCATACGCGAATGATGAACTTCGGGTGTCGCTGGTGACGTTGACTGCTGCCCTCTCCACCCCTCACATCCGCCTCAATGGCATATCGAATGGGCGAGATGCTCCGCCTTGGCCAAGCCAAGCACACAAATAGAAGAGTTGCCACTGGCGCGTCAAACATACCTGCACATACCTGCACAGGGCACTGGCATCTTCACTTGGTGGGTTTAGTCATATTAGACGTGGCTTAATGATTTTACTTTTCTGCTGCCCAGGCGGCCCAAGTGGCTGCCCATTCCTGCCCTCTTTGTGGTCATTCGCCCCAAAATCCAACAGGCCATCAGCCTGGGCACCACCTCTTCACGACATCAGCCTGGGCATCCGCACAGCATCACCATGCCCTGGCTGGGTGTGGCCGCAGCGCTCCCCGCGGGGTCAATGACACCGGTGAGCATGTGCACTGTCCTCGGATCGTGGGCCGAGGCGGTGACGTCTTTGTTTTTGGCATGTGGACTTCGGCTATTAGCGGCTAAGGGGGGTTGCGCCAGGAGCCACCAAAGAGTCCCATCCAGTCCTTGGGCAGGTCATCCAAGAGGCACCCGTTTGACTCCTGGTGGGTGGCTGTTTGGGCAGTTGGGCAGTTGGCGGCCGTCCATCCGGGGCGCATCACAGGGATCCCCGTGGTCATGGCCCGCTCGGCGTTGGGGATGGCGGCACCTGGAGGAGCGAGTGTGGAGGCCCCAGAAGACGGTGCAAAGGATTTGGGGTGTATACAGCGTAATATATTCATAAGGCCCCTGCATGCACCTATTCATATACCCCATGCGGTGTATGACACCTGCATGCAATTCATTCAACGCCTATTCATATCGAACGCGTGTTCAAGTCAAAGCTCAAAATAGTCGAACTTGGTGTCTCTTCTCAACACCTCTTCGCATCTGGTTTTGGTGAACACGAAGTCCGGAGTTCAGCCTTTCCGTCCAGACGTCGTGCGCTTCGTTTGCGGGGGGACCTCACTGTGCTAAGGGCAAGTGAGGCAAGTGGCATGTGACCTGTGTGACCTGTGTGGCTCGGGAATTGATTCCAAGAAAACATTTGTCTTAGACCATCGGTCTTAGTCGAAACGACCACCCCGCTTTCTTGGAGTTGCACCCAAGAGCTAAGATGTAGGGACATGGAAGGCACCCCTATGCACCCCCTGCGAAAGCATCCTCTACAAAACCTGGGCTGACTTCGAAACAAAAAAAACCTGTGACAATGTAACGCAGGGCTGACTGGGCTAATTGTATATTAGTATATTTGTTACTATACTTTTTTGTTTCAGGGTCGCATAGGATCAAGAATGTCACCAACGCTACCGGGTCGAAGATTTCCACTTATATATAAGTGTTGCATGCGTCTCTTCCAAGCAAAGACACGGTTGCCTTGTGGAAGTTCAGTTTGACAGGAAGCTTGATCAGGGATAGGGGAATGCTTTGAAGGGTAACCCTTTTCACTTGGTTCTCATTGATTTCAGGCAATTCAGGAACCTTGGATTTAGGACATCTTGGTGGCAAATTGACTTGTTCATCCTTGTTCATGATTGGTTGTTCTTGCCCGCTACATGCTATGTGGTTCATATATGTTCAGCTTACAAACTACATTCATGCCGCAATGCCCAGCCTATTGCTAGACCCAGGGCAGCGCACACCACCGCCTCAGGGTGGGTCAAGCCTCCCTCCCAACACCTAACCTCATAACCTCATAACTGACATGGCCATAACAAGACACTAATATCCATATTAGAGTCTTAATAGGGTGTGTGTGTGTGTGTGTCTGGGGTGGTTCTGGAGCCTCATGAACACATAAACCACCTATCAGTCGACTCTTCACAGCCCCAAGGAGGTTCTCTTTTCCCAAACAGCTTTCCGTAGCTGACCGGCGAGGCAGCTGTTTCACGTGTTTCATTTGCTGGGTGTTTCCGGTTGGAGGCTCCAGCAATCGTTTCGAGTCGAAATCATTCTTGAAGAGTGATCAAAGTAGTACGTAGTTGTTCCGCAACATCGCAGTTCCCTCTCTTTTTGGCCTTCGTACTTACTTGTCATAGCACCTATGACAAGTAAATGACCATTATTGGATCCTTGGGGATGTCGCCCACACCGAGGAGGCCAACATGTGTGAGCCATCGAGCCATCGGGGAGGCCGAGAGGCAAGAAAACAATAGACCTCAGATGTCAGCTCCCAGCTGAAGAAATCAGCCACACCATGTGCTTGGTGGTGAATAATGAGATGGCGGCCAGTCGCTCATGTTGAATGTCCAGGCTACTTCCCATTGTTGCCACATCAAGTAAGCCTATGCAGCTGAGTGCTGCCACACTGAAACTTGACTACTGCAACGCTGGAACATTCACCACTGCTACGCTGGAGTGCTCACTTCTGCTACACTGAAACTTGACTACTGCCACGCTGGAACACTCACAACCGCCACACTGAAGTCTGACTGCTGGCTCATTCAATGAGCGTTGCGGCTTTGGGGATATACAGTAACTTGTTTGGAGATGTCTT